TCTTCAACTTCCTGGTTTCTTCTGTCAGAAAAAAAGTGTGGTGGAGGATGCTATACACGCAATGTCTCTAGGCGATCATGCAAATAAACTTATTGGTGGACATTGTTATATGAAGGGACTTCCTAGTGGGGAAAGAAGGCTTGTTAGCATTGCCAGGGAGCTTGTGATGAGACCACGCATTTTATTTATAGATGAACCTCTTTATCAGTTGGACAGGTTTATTTTTAAATTCTTTTAATGCCTTTTATTGTAATATTTGTCTATCAGTTGCTTGATTTTGGTCCATATTTTTGAGACATTTTGTTTACACTCTTTTTTCTATTTATCTATTTTTCTTCAGTGTGTCGGCACTTTTAATGATGGTTACATTGAAGAGACTTGCAAGCACTGGCTATACACTTATCCTAACTATCTATCAGAGCAGCACAGAAGTCTTTGGCCTTTTTGACCGAATATGTCTACTTTCAAATGGAAATACCCTCTTTTTTGGTGAAACATTAGCTTGCTTGCAGGTACGTCTTCTATGCCTTCTCAAATATTGACCATGAAATTTGATTAAGTATGAGTTAAGTAATCCTATTTCGTCATGAATGAATAATTTTAAGGGGCATTAGTTTTAATTTTTTTATGCTTCATAGGGATGCTATTTTAATATTTGCTAATGAAAAGTGATCCAAGATGAGTGCTGCAAGATCGTCAAGAAGTTCCTTTTTCGCCTCTGTTGGTAAATGGAATACATATCTTATTACTGACTTCTGTCATTTTATGTTGATGAAGCACTTCTCAAATGCTGGATTCCCTTGCCCAATCATGCAAAGTCCTTCTGATCACTTTCTACGTGCAATTAATACAGATTTTGACAGGATAATTGCAATGTGTAAAAACTGGCAGGTAGCTGTTTGTTGTGGAGTGATGATTGATGTTCTCAATGCATTTTGAACGTCACCTATTAGACTTTTAATGATACTTTAATTAAAATTATCATTATTATAGGATGACAATGGGGATTTTTCTTCTGTGAACATGGACACTGCTGTTGCTATACGTACACTTGAAGCAACTTATAAGTCATCTGCAGATGCAGCTGCCGTTGAAACTATGTTTCTAAAACTCACTGAGAAGGTATATTATAAGTGCTGAAATAGAGACATCAATAGCTTCTTAAATTATACAAGTTAGATCTTCTGTTAATGTGGACTGGGGTTTACCATAATCCCCTTCCTTCCCAAATAGCATATTATGTATTGCCAACATATACTTTTCAAGACACTATTTTCTCTTATCGTTTGAACAAATGAGATTAGCAGTATTTTGAAACTTGAAAGTTTCTGTTTCAATTAATTGTGGAAAGCCTATTACAATGAGTACAAGGTTTACGATTTAGCAGATCATTCTCCTATCATCTTAAGATAAGCATGCTATAGACAAGTATTATTTGGTTTGGAACTAATGGATAAGAAAACTGTAGTCCAATTTAGGGACATTACAGATATTTAAATTTTTATGAGAAATTTGTAATCTGGGATGTTTTGCATATGCTAAAGGGTAATTAGAGATAATAGAGGGTGTTTCATGAAACTGTTAGAATATATTAGAGTCTTATCATATCTTAGACTATCGTAAATCATCCTTTAGGCTTAGTTTCCCAATTTCTTTATTATCTCTTAGATTGGTTATCATATTTTCTCATTTTTTCATTATTTTCCCCCCTAATTAGTTAGGATGGTGATTAGTATAAATAAGGGTTTGTGCTCTGGTATTTATAAACATATTGAGCACATCGATTTGTTATAATACACCTCAGGTAATATTAATTTGTTATTTCATTCTCGTCTGTCTTTCTCTATAGTTAAATCCTCATAATTTCAACAAAACCCATTTAAAAGGACTTGTACTGACAGATGATTTAATCTTGTTGGTGAAATGACTTTCTTATTAATCTTGTTGAAGTATGGGATGTGCGCTTCTCATGATAGGCTCCTTAGAAATTTGTTTCTGGCTTTATTTTTCTCTTCTGCATTTAAAAAGGAAGTTACTGTTGGTTGTTAAGCTCTGTAGTCTTTTTTAAGCATGCTTGATTTTGCAGGAAGGTCCAGCTCTCAAAAGCAAGGGTAAAGCTAGTAATGCTACTCGGATAGCAGTTTTGACATGGAGATCTTTATTAGTTGTGTCAAGGGAATGGAAATATTACTGGCTGCATCTTATTCTTTACATGCTTCTCACGCTGTGTATTGGTACTGTGTTTTCTGGTCTGGGGCATTCTCTGTCTTCTGTTGTGGTGAGTCTTGACGTGACAATTGCATTTTATCTTTCATTGTGCATCTCTTAGAGTTTATATCTGCATTTATATATGTCAACAGTTCAGGATATAGTTATAATAGGCAGGAATTGAATTTTAACATCTCTTACATTGCAGACAAGAGTAGCAGCAATTTTTGTATTTGTATCGTTCTGTTCCCTTCTAAGCATTGCTAGGGTGCCTGCACTTATGAAGGAAATCAAGGTAATTTGTGCTTGTTTCATACTAGTTTGCTTTGATGTGCTTGATATGTGCATATAATTAAGTGTCCATTTGGCAAGTCTTTTTAAGTTGTTTGCATTGCCTTTTTTTTTTTTTTGTATGGTGTATTGGTCTACACAGACCTCAACTGCATAACAGATTAATTTATTCTATGATTTAGCTTTAGTAACTCGTGAGAAGTTTATCCATAACTTATAAGCATTGAAATATGGGTCACACTTATTTTCCTAACAATAGTGAAAGTTTTATAATGTCATGGTAAACTCTAGAAACGATGTATTGTTAGCATTGTTAATGTACTAGATCATTAACCGTGTAGTAACTGTTTGACTATGAAATGTTGTATTGACAGATTGCACTATTAGTATTATTATGGTTAGTTGTACTCCCTCCATCTCATGTTATTTGTCATTTTGAGAGTTTTGAGTTGTCTCAATATTTGTCACTATACATGCTGCATTTCATGGATTCACTACAGTTTCTTTCTATAATCCCAAAAAGGTTGATGGAGTCAAGTGATTTGCTCTTTTGCAGATATATTCCTGTGAAGAATCAAACCAGCACTCCAGTACATTAGTATTTTTACTTGCACAGCTCCTGTCCAGCATCCCATTTCTTTTTCTCATCTCCATTTCATCAAGTCTAGTCTTCTACTTCCTCGTAGGGCTGGAAGATCAATTCAGCCTGCTAATGTACTTTGTGCTGAATTTTTTCATGACTCTGTTACTGAATGAAGGAATTATGCTAGTTGTGGCTACTTTGTGGCAAGATGTATTTTGGAGTGTCTTGACACTGTTATGTGTACATGTGAGTTCTATTGTCCATTTAGTTTAGATGCAAAATATTAACCAAAGTTGCATGCTGCTCAACTGCTCTACTGGTCTATATTTTCACTTAAAAGCCATGATTAAGAGCTTAGGTGTTTGCTGAGCTAGACAGTGACGCATTTGCATGCCATTTCAGGTTGTCATGATGCTTTCAGCTGGCTATTTTAGAATTCGAAATTCATTGCCTGGACCATTTTGGATGTATCCGATGTCCTATATAGCCTTTCATACATATTCTATTCAGGTAAGAGATGTGTGTTTGTATCTTCTGGTCACAGACTATGACTTGTATGTTTGTTTTTTATTTTTGTTGGGATTTAATTTCCAAAACTAGGAGGGTCAAGCGTTTGTAAATGATTCAATCTTTTTCCCTAGATGGGTATTTATTAGAGCATTTACTTGTCTTAAACTCGTAGGGGCTATTGGAGAATGAATACCTAGGCACTTCCTTTGCAGTGGGGCAGGTAAGGACCATATCTGGCTTTCAAGCTCTCCAAAGTGTGTACAATATATCCCCCGACAGTAATTCCAAGTGGAAAAATTTGTTGGTTTTGTTTCTTATGGCAATTGGTTATCGTATTTTTGTGTTCATTTTATTATTTTTCTTCACGGGGAGAAAAATATCCCTCCTCAAAAGTTTGAAGTGTAATAGGGATACAACAGATTCAAGTTGATGGGAACGTTGTTCGGCCTTTCACATTGTATAATTCCTTTTGATCGAGTTTTTTTCAGCTCTACTTTTGTGAATTTATCTTTGACTAATGAAAGAGCAAATATGAGATTATGGCTTTGTCTTGTCTCTCTCATATGCCTTGGTCAATACTTGATGTGTATTAGCAGTGATTACACAAGGCCTTGATAATAATGATTCTTCTTTGCTTATGGCTTTTAACCCTCCCTCTTGAGATTTTTAACTACATATTATTATATGTGCTAACCATACGAGTTCATATGATTTAATCTGAGTATTATACTATTACTGATTTCACTCACGCTGACAGCTAACGCCAATAGTTCCGAAAGCTAGATTTTTGTTGTCGTAAATAATTGAATTTTGACGTATGCATTAAAATTTGGGGTGCAGGTGCGATATTGATGTATGGGGCACGCCCCTCTATATATTTTGTCCTTTTGTTCCGTCCACGTTTCGTTCTTGCAACGTGTTACCTATGTGTGGTTTCTAACGTTGGCGTTGTGGCAATTTCTCGTAACATGCAATTTTTAGGTCACGTGGAAATTTAAAGGGTGAAATAATGTTTGTTTATTATTTAAAAATATATTTTGGAGTGAGATTTAAAAGAAGAGAAAATGTAATAAGTTTTAAAAATATATTAATCAAAGTATAAAAGACCATGATAATAGCGGAGTGGGTCAAGGTTGTAAGAGCCTAAGCAATTTAGGGCCTGGAAAAGCCCACTACGACTCAAGACATCATCAACCCAAAGCTGATAACTAGTTTGACGAAAAAAATAAAAGGGCGATTAATGGCAGCACACGGGAAAAGTCGAAGCGGATTCTCAAGTCAAAGTCTAATTGTTCGTAATTGTAAATTAGAAATGTAATGTATCTAATGTAACATTGAAAATTAGAAAGTTAGTTGATCTTAACTGGTGATTAATGAATGAATTAATAATGTTTGAAGGCCGCGTAACTTGACGGCGACAACAGAGTTTGGAGAGATGAGAAAGGAATAGGAAACATTGTCTTCCGTAATTCCTTTCCTTTTCCTCTCTTTCCTCTATGTGTGTGTGTGTGTGATCTAATGGTTTCCCTCTTCCCGCGTAAAACCGAATTGTGGTGTCGTTGTTGTTCCATGACGACGTCGTTTTTGAACGGGGAAAGAGCGGTGGTGCTCTTGTTCATCTCCACGATCCTCTTCTCCCTCCCTCTCTCTCTCCTCTTCCATGGCGTCTCTCTCTCTCTTCTCACCCTCGCCTCCTTCTTTCTCGAGATTTCCTTCGACAATTCGAATTCTCCTTCTCTTTTTCGCACCAGGTACTCTCTCTCTCTCTCTCTTCGTTGATCCATTCATCGCTTGATTTTAATTCCCTTTCAGACCGGGTGCTTCCTCGGGTATTCTTCTCGGCGCCGTCACTCTCCCTTCTCTTCTTCTCTCTAAATTGGTGCAGTTATCGCGGGGACTCTCGCTCGCTCAACTTCAACTTCAAGGTCTTTTCATTCTAGTTCCTTTATCGCTGTTGCTTCTTTTCATGTTTTTTTTTTTTTTTAATTTCTTAGGAGTTACGATTTGCAATTTCGTGATGTGTATAATTTGAATTTATAGAGATTCAATATCTGACATTGCAATACTGGGCCACATCTGCCAGCGCCTGCAGCGTTGTTTTGTTCCTCGCCTTTGCTCAACGGCGTTCTCCTTTAACCCCTTCTCATTGGGTTGTAAGGTTTAGCTTGTGTTCCATTTTCTTTCAAGCTCTTGTCAGTGTTGCTGCCCTAGCTACAACTTCTCAAATTGGTAAGTGTTTGTTGGGAGTGTTTTTTGAACTGGTGAATGAAATATTGCTGTTGTATTATATAGGTTAGGAATGTGACTTCTGCTTAAGCATTCGTTGCTGCTTCTTTCGCAGGCTTGCATCCGGCACTGAAGCTTTCTTGGGTCTTTTGTCATGGATTGGCATCTGTGATTCTAATTTGGCATTTCCTCAGAACTTTTCCATCTTGTGCTTCCATTGGTGAGTATGTCTTATTTATACTCATGGTCTTATTTAGTCACCTATTCAAAAAAGAAATGCTTGGAATTGATCTCTTTTTGTAGTTCATGGATTCTTTCCTTTAACTATCGAAAATAATAAACCAGGTTATTGCAATTGTTTTGTTTGTCTTTTGATCAATACAGCTGTGTTCATTTTTCACCCTTATCTGAAATATGTATAAATGCTGCATCACTGCACCTAGATGATTGTATCTCAGCATAATTGCATCACTGGTTGGGAGGGGGGTCGTTAATTTGTCTGCCCTCTTAATAATCATATTTTCCCCTCTGATTCCAGGGGAAGCATTTTTGGTGACTGCTGGTATTGTTCTCTATTTTGGTGACATGCTGTTGCTTACTATTAAAAAGGTTAGTGCTTCTTAACATGATATTGTTTCTAGATGACCTGTATATTTATATATTTAATCGGTGATTACATTGTTTGAACAGCTATGTGGACTATTGGTGTCAACAAAATTGGTTACTGCAGAACATGAACTAAGGCGAAGTGAGATAAGCATTATAATTCAGGTATTGGTTCTGAAGTCATGATTTTATTATATTAATGGTATAGCTAGATTGGTTAAAGTTGTCTACTTTCTTGCAGGGGCTTGTGCTTGGTCTTTTGCTGTATCCAGTAGCTTTGAAATATATTCTCCAAATATGGGAGTGGTCAATAAATACAGCTTCTGCTGAAGGAAGAAGATACACTGAAGTTGGGAGATCTATTATCTTTATTGCTTCCCTTGGATTTGTCCTGATTGTGATTGTACCATCATGGATGCAGTTTGTGCAGGAATTTCACGTGCACCCTTTTTTCTGGTATCACATCAATATTTGATATAGGTGGATTATTTTGTTAGCTGCCTGTTATTGATGTGTTCAGATGTCATCTGATATAAAATGGAAGTGATAATAATAGGTTGCTTGGAAAGTAGTTTATTAGCAATAAATTGAGAAGGATATAGTGTATGTCTAGCTGGAAGCTCTTATGCATGCTTACATGTTATATGATAACTTAAGAAGGCAATGTAAGCTACTAATTCCACCAGAAACTGTGGAATGAAGAAAGTTGATATATTATTTGATTCCACTGCATTCACATTCATTTGCAGAGTTAAGCCATGCATTTCCACCTTTCATGGACTATGGTGTTTCCGTAAATGCGATTATAACAAACATCTTAACTCAATTATCCAAATAATATGGTTTATGTTGGCCATAGAAGCACCCTATGTTTTATGCCTTCCTATGTCATGAATCCAATACAAATTGTATGTAACATATAGAATTTAGTGTTAGCATAAACTCAATCTGATTCGACTATGTTTAGAGGCCCAAACAGTTCAGTTGTTGAGTGATGTGGACGCATTTTAAAATACAATTCTGACTATGATGGTAGTTTTAGGTTCAAATTACTGTGGCACATAATTGTTTTCTCACTTTATTATGATACCAGCTATTTTGTTAGATTACTATATTCTCACTTTTGAAACATCTCATTGCAGGGTACTTTCCTTTGTTTTCTCGGAGCCATCCAAAAGACTGTCTTTATGTATCTATTGGGTGTGTATAATTTGTGTTTCGGTCTTGCGATTCTATAACATCTCCAAGAAGAGTAAGATTGAGAGGATTCTTTTGCGGAAATACTACCATCTTATGGCTGTCTCAATGTTTTTACCTGCCCTTATCTTCCAGGTAATTTGGAACTAAATAGTTGTAAGCTACTACATAAAAGGGATTCTTCAACTTGGAATCCATTATTCATTTTCTTTTTCATAAAACCCCAGTGCCTTGTTTTTACCATACTTGCAAGTAAGGGAAAAAATGTACCAACTCTCCCTAGACCTTTACCTCATTTTGAAATAGCCACCCGTAACTTTCAAATCTGGATGAAAGGCTTTTAACTAAATGAAGCTTGTAAATAGATTCTTCCATATCTAAGTTAAACAAAAGCCATTCATTTATATGACTTCTGCATATAAATTAATACATATTATAAACTCTAATTTTCCCACATTATTTTTTGAATTAAAATGTTTTCCTCATTTTTTTTAATTTTTGGTAATTTTAATATTTTTTGCAAATAAAAAGAAGTCAATTTTCTTTTTTTCTTTCTTTTTATTAAATAATATGGACGAATTAGAGATTGTAATAAGTATTAATCATCGAATGCTAGTCATGTGATAACTAATATTAAGTAATGATAGCAACATACTTCCCACTATTAGTTAAAATTTATTAAAAATTACAAAAATCATGTGGGTCTCATTCTTTCTCACTTCTAAATTAATGTTTCTCTTTCATATTTTTTTAGTTTTCAATAAATTTTACCAATAGTGAAGAGTGTGTTACTAGCATTCCGCAACTAATATTAGCTTAATTAGTGGATAAAAGGATATATTAGCAAGTTTTGGAAAATTTAAGGACCTATGGTATCTTCATTTTTATTTTTTTTTGTTCACACTATATTTTAGTGTTAGTTATCATTTTATGATTAAGAATATGAAAGGAAAAAGAATGATAATTCCATGTGTTTACAAACATTTATATATTTTTTTTTCTTTACACCTGCATTGTACAGGCCACCACCAGTTTGGATATAAATTTTGGGTTGGTCATTGGTACTATTGTCTGTATATTATAATACTGACTATTCTGTTTCTTTCAGCCAAAATTTCTTGATCTAGCCTTTGGTGCGGCTTTGGCAGTTTTCTTGACATTAGAAATTATTCGAGTAAGTATCTTGAAATGCATTCAACTTAGCACTAGCAGTAATGATGACATATTTTGAAAAGGATGCTGTTTTCATTGTTTATTGTTGATAATCTCAATAGTGAGGAAGGAATCAAAATCTGAATTCAGATACTTCAAATTTGAAGAAGTGCTATAAAAGAACACCCCACCATTTAAGGAATATCTTTATTTGTGTGTCTCATGAAATGTATGTGCAATGGTCATTGTTGTGATAACAGAAGGGAAGGGGAAAGGGGTACGGATATGTAATTAGCAGACATTCTGCAGGAACAAATTCTCAAAAATGTCTTCAACATCAGAGTTCTGGATTCAAGAATATTTGTTTAATTATTTACAAATTATGACTATATATGGATTTGATTATTTAAACTTATGAAAAGGAAAGGATTGTGTCATGTTGCCAAAAGAACAGTACAATCTTATTCTTCATTGGAATCATCGCAACTATTGATGGCACATAAAGCACATTATTTCTCGCTCTGTGCTAACCTGTGCTAATACCAATGTCGTTAGTATCTTACAGTTTGCGATATATGTGCAATTAGATACAAACTGCTCTCTCAGCGATGCAAATTGCACTGCAAATTGGAAGTGGAGTTGAATCACAACCTGTATCGCTGGAATTGCACATGACTAATTTTACTAGTGGGGTGCACAAGAAAATGGGTCAGGTTGTATGCAACCCAGTGTGAAAAAACCCCTAAAAAATACCTTTTCTTAATTATTTCTTTTTGTGATTTGAGAGACAAACAGCTGAATCTTAAACCCCCCGCCCTCCCCTTCCTATATCCAGACCAAATATTATACAAAAGGAACCTTATTTTTCAGTTTCTCCACTTTCTACCTGTTACCCCACACAACACATGCTTTGTTTACCCTGTTTCTCATACTATTTCATTGCTTTTGCCTGGTTGGCTGCTCCCCCACATTTTGCTGCTGATTGCTGACTGTCTCTTACCCCACACAACACAAACTTTGTGCTGCCTTCTTTTTATTGCTCTCTTATTTCTCTTAATACTTAATATTGTTTGCCGGTTCCTGCCTTAGTCTAGTATTTCTATATTTTGTTGCTTTCTGTGTGCTGTGTTGTGCTCTTTAATGGGTTATTTTGAAGTGTATACGACACTTTATTAGCTATACAGTGAACTATTTGACTTTAAAATCCTGATATACAGATGTTTCTATATGTTGAAATGGGCTTAATTTATGCATTTTAACTAATGATCATGAATTTGTGCTTTCATATTACTCCGTTAGCTATATATGTTATTTTTAATTATTGATCATGAATCTTATGATTCATGTTTAGGAAAGTAAGCCTTCTTATTCTCAATTTGAATATTGATTTGATAACCGCTGATACTAAATAGCTAGAAAATTTGGAATGTGTCTACTTTGACAGCTGAGTCCTTTTCTTCCTTTCATTATCCCAATGCCAAAATTCTGATACTATTTCCCATAAATTGTCTATTATTTTTCTCAAGTGATTCAATGTAGGCTGATTGGTATACAACTCTTTTATTTAAATAAGTAGATAGATAGATATTTCTTGGTTTTGCTAATATATTAACATGTTTGGCCTAGGTTTGGAGAATCTGGCCTTTGGGACAACCAATAAATCAATTTATGAATGCATTCACTGATCACCGTGACTCTGATCTTCTCATTGTTAGGTATCATGCCCATTTCCATTATAGTTCAAATTGTAGAGCTTACTATTTATGATGCATAAGATCTACATTTAGTTCCCTTTCACAACTGTATCTTCTTTGTGCAGCCATTTCTCACTTTTACTGGGATGTGCACTTCCAATTTGGATGTCTTCTGGGTACAATGATCGACCTCTTGCTCCTTTTGCAGGAATTTTGAGTCTAGGAATTGGAGACACAATGGTAAGTTTTTTTTTGTTGCACTCCCATGAACTTCGGGGGCATTGCAAGTGAACCAAAATGAACTTCTAAATTAAAACATTGTCAAAAGGTGAATTTTATCATCTATTAAAAGGGAAAAAAGTGAATTTGTATCATCCTGCATGAGGTCAAATGCGATACATAAATCTAACTGTTTTGAATCATTCAGAAATGTTTAAACCATAAATGCATGAACCTGAATCAATCTGAAATTTTGATGCTGTGATTCTGATAATTTTGGAACAAAGAAGTTATACTACCGTTTTTGGGAACCATGATTTTTCATGAATAACTAATTACGAATTTATATTTTTGAGAAATTAGAATAATTGCAATGATTGTACAAACAGTTTTCCATTGTAAATGTAGGCAGATTGTTTTCTAGCACGACTGAAGAAAAGCATTAAAAATGTATTTTTCTAATAATGGTTGATTTTCTATATAGTTCGTAGTTGTTCTTTAGTCCCCTGCTATATATTAGTTTTGAGTTCGTATTGTTAAGTCTCGTGAAGCCAATCAAATCTTCTCACAAACCCACGTGTTTTCTTATATTTTAACACGTCCTTAACTTTCATATTAATCAAAATAAAATTGTTATTAATTGTCATTTTAGATAATTATTCAATCAAACAATATTATTAATTTCTTTAATTGATGCTTAAATTTCTTCTATTAATCAATATTAAACAAAACGGAATATTTTTAAATTATATTAAATTAATTTTTGACATATTATATTATTTTTTGAAAATTTTCAAAATTAATTGTTTCAATATTTATATTTTTAATAATTTAATTTTTATCTTTTACTAAAGTACCTGTACAATGTGAGATGATAGTAATTTATTCTCTTTAATTTGTTTAGGCATCAATGGTCGGGCACAAGTATGGTGTTTTGAGGTGGAGTAAAACTGGCAGTAAGTATTTTCATTATTAGTGATTTTTATTGGAGTCTTCCGTTGCAAGATGTGAATGTGTATAGCTTTCTCATTTGCCAGAGAAAACAGTTGAAGGTACTGCAGCTGGTATAACTTCCGTACTTGCTGCTTGCTCTTTACTCCTTCCGCTTTTAGCATCGACGGGATACATTCTCACTCAGGTGATTCTCTCTCTCTCTCTCTCTTGTATGTGTTCATGTTAAGGGGGACAGGGTGGGTTCGGTTAAGTGTGGATGTAAACTCATTGGTAATTAAGTTGATGACCTTTTAAGTGTTAGAAGGAACTTGAGTTGCCTGCATAATTTCCTGGAACCATCTAATTCACATGGTTTTTTTCTTGATAGAGGTATCTCAATTCAGTACTTTGGGTCTAATGTCACTCTTAGCATAGACAAGGTCCCACACCATTCTGGTTTCACGTGGACCTTCATATAAAGCCCAAAGCTTTATATAGGCCGTTTTGATACGGCTGGCCCCTAACAATTTCTTGCATCGAGTTAGGAACCTTGTGAACGAGCATTGTTCTCTTAGATTCATGCATATAAACCAATTTCTGGATATGGAGTTAGGTCAGAATTCAGATACCATGTATAGTATGCCTTAAGAGAGTACTTGCTCTCATTTTCCCAAACCCTATCTTTTTCTCACCCATGTGCAAGCCTAGCCCCACTTAAGAAACGACTATCCTCTTCGTTTCAATTTCTCCTAGATCCTCCCTCCTCAAAAGGGAGGGAAAGGAATGGAAAAGCTACGCCTATTGTGGCAAATTGCAAATTTCAAGGACAGTAAGGTGTAGTTTCATCTTTTAGTGCCTCGTTGAATAGGAAAAAAGTAAGGAAATTGTCGTTTATCGTTTAGGAAATGAAATGAATAAAGCTAAATGAGAGAAGCCTGCTATTCCAGAATACTTGTTCTTTTGAATTATTGAGTTTTTCTTTTGATGTATTTGTTACCAACATTTTGCAGCATTGGTTCTCTCTACTTCTAGCTGTGACTGTAAGTGGTTTGTTGGAGGCCTACACTGCACAACTTGACAACGCATTCATACCACTGTTTTTCTATAGTCTTCTCTGTTTGTAGGCGCAGCTTTTCCTCTTCCAAAACGAAGTTACCTTGATTGAGGAACGACGGGTGCAAATACGTGGCCTCTCTGGGCACATCGTTTTTGCAGAGGTCAGATAACTATTAACCAACGCAATTATACGTGACAATTTAGGGTTGATCTACATAGTTAGGATTGTATCTCTACAGAAATGATAGGTATACGAGTGTCCATTGTATGTATGCAGGAGTGACACTTTCCCATTTTTATGAAATCAAAGATTTGTGAGGCGAGATAAGAGAGATTGTAAAGAAATTTTTAATATCTGTCATTTTTCACACTTATACACTGTCTTTCGTTTTTGCGAACACGTTGCATGTCGGGTGGAGCCACGCACATACCAATCGTTTGCTAGAGTCACAGTCGAAACTGTTGACGCTTGAAAATTTGCCATTTAGCGCTCGATTTCTTCACGTTTAATCCATGAGTTATTATTATTATTATTATTTTGAGTCACAATGTTAATTATGGTTGAATGACAATTAAAAACAGTTAAATAATTTTAATTATAATTCGGTTTGAATTTAAATTAAGAATTTCAAATTTATGTTCGAACATTTGAGAAACTGAGATATAAAATTATAATTTTAAATTGTATTGAGATTTATGTTTCCTGAATATTTGACAAAAATATCTTAAAAAGATCAAATTTAAATTATTGTAAATATAGTTTTCAGTACAGCTCGAGTTGTCGGATTACATGGATGTAATACGTCACGTTATCATCGGTACTTGTCCACTGTGCATACGAAGGAAACATACCTGCCGAAGGGACTGCTGTTCTTCCGTTCAAAAAACAAAGCCTGTCCCCTTTAATTGGCATTTTATACGTGTACGGTATATTTTAAAGGAAGATGTTATCCGTAAAATTTGGATTACGTACACTTTAATGCTTGAACTTTAGAAAATATATGCTTCAACCCTTGTTATTATTACTTTCGTAGTTACATTATTACTTTGTTGATATTGTCAATGTAACATAAATGGTATTGTACAAAAATTTGCCTTGTTTCATTTAACACTTTCAGTGTATTAAACACCTTATAATACAGAGTTGTTTGCATTTTGTATCAGCCATTAAATAATAAATAGAACTAAATTTTATGTTCTGGCTCATTATACTGTGTTATTTAGGTTGTGTTATCTCTCAGTGTGCATCAAATACATCCCAAGTATTTGTTAAGGATAATCTCAATGGCCATTAACAACACATAATAAATATAAGAAAATAAAAAAAATTATTATGAAAGATAACCCATAATTATTTAGTGGGGTACATCACGAGGATTTACTGAGAACAAAATGCACTTGATAAATAATCAACCATTTATTTCTTTTATAGTAACATTGTTCATATAATAATGAGACATGTAAGTAAAACAAGGGAGTTCAAATCTCACATTTATTCCTTTTTTTTTTTTCAATTTCTTTTCTTGTCCTACCCCATTTGGGTTCTCTTATGAGCTCTTCTTATAATTTACTTCAGGTGAGTTATAGTTTCAATTTTAAAAAAAAGTAAAATATCTGTAAGAATAATTACTTAATTCGGTATTGAACAGTAAGTATTAATCATTAAAGTTACTATAGTAATAATTTTTTAGGAAACATTATGTATTAGTATACATCTAGTTATTTTTATCCAGCAGTTGACACTCAATAAAATATTTGCCCGCTAGATTTGATTGCATATTTCTTGACAGAGGTGTAGTGAAACAAAATATCTCTTGGACAGCTAGAGTTGCATATTTATCCAAACGGGAGCTTCTGCTAATCATCTTCCCAGTTATTGGCTTAAAACGATTGAGACTATTTTGTGCTGTTTCTTGTGTATATCTGAGTGAGAGTGACTAATTAGGTCTCAATTGCTCAACGTGGGGTATCCAACAGTTGTACACATGTACGTCATTGTGGGCATGGAACGTGTTAAACAAACCAAAAAATTATTATCAGTTTTTGGGTGCCATGTTTTGGTGATTGCATGACAATGGACCCCCAAAAGGAACTTCTGCTCGGACAAGAGTGCGATAAGTCCGACCAAATTAGATTTTTGAAAGATTTAGGAATTGTTTGTTTTAATTAATTAATTTTAATTCAGGTAAGGAGTTAAATCAGTTCAAAATTCAACGAACTCAATTGTAATTACGTACAAATTGATCCCTTGGAACTTGATCCAACCATGATATCATGGAATGATGGAAAAGAAAATGTTAAATGATGCGACATAAATTTTTTAAATAACACAAATAAGATTTATTTTCTTTTTATTTGTATATAGCTAATTTGAATAATATATGTGTCTTAATTAAATAGATTCGAGCTTTGCATGATTAATTGTTATTTTGTTTTGGAATCTTTATACTCACATTTGAGATTCAGATTGAGAGATGTGTTCTTACGGTTTTTCACTTGTTCTGATTCACTTCCCTACCGTCATTTGTGATTAGTCATACCCATCGTTCTCTTGTCGTCCAATCATTCTTGGACTCACATCCCACTGTTTTCTTTTGTGTTGTTCTTCACCCTTCTTACCGGCCACCAATGATTTCTCCTTCGTCGTTGCTTTACATGTGGTTTGCTGGCCACTGTTTCATTAACTAGTGTCTTTCTCGCATTTTCACTTCTATGTATTAATATAATTCTCATTCAAACACCCAGATCAGTTAAGGTGAAGTTATTTTGATATAAACAGTGGTCTCTAATTTAAATTATTATCTAATTGTGTTATATCTTAAGAGAAAAATTTATATTTCATAATAATGTTATTTGACTTAAATAATATTGTCTAATGTGAAAAGTACTTGTGATTTAAATAAAAAATATATCAATATAATTTAAAAATTATGATGAGTTACCCGTTAATTAAAATGAGTTAAGTCATAAAGAGTAAGAAGTATAGTTAAATATTTAATGATTAAGTGTCCATTTAATTTATAATTGCAAATTTAAATTTGTGTTGTTTTTAGTAAAAAAAACTTACATATTCCAATGAAATTTTATTAATAAGAGTAATTTTAAATATATTATAATAATAGTTAATGAGTTAAATTAATTTATTAAATCTAATTTAATTTAATTTTAAAATAATTAAGATTTAAAATTTTATTTTTATTAAAAAAATTATATTACGTGTTAATATTTTTTTTTGGCTCGAATGATATATTTTAAAAATAGACGCTCTATCTGCAAAGCAGACCATTGGGGAAATAAAAGTTTGGAGACAATGTAAGACAGACGATGACACAGATGGCCTTAAAGATGTGGTATAAAATTAATACATTAATTTTTATGAGTTGAAATTATAATTTTAAAATAGTATTTAAAAAAATTGTGATGAATTAATAAAATTGAAAGCCTACGAGAAAAGATAAAAAAATGAAAACCGTTGGTGATCACATCACTAAAGCAGGTTGGTGTATCACAATTCACAGATAGCTGTATGCAATTGTTTTGCTCTTAAGAATGAAATGAATGGTTTTCGCCATTTCTCGAAAGTTCGGATTGTTGGACGCATGCATGCCCCGTGGAAGCAGACATTTATTTCGATCAATTCTCAGTACAAATAACATCAGCACATGGAATTCGTACGTTGGTATGTGAACACAACCATCTTCCCAACAATTCCTCAGTCAAAATTGGCCAGATGAAGAGAATCAAGCTACTTGCTCAAATAATACACGTGCCCAACATAAACACACACTTGCCTTGTTTTGTTAAAAGATAGATACATATTAAAGAGTCCATAGGACAAATTAGTAAGAAAATAAATAATAATAATAAAAGGTTAAATTTATTGTGTTAAAAAATAATTTTACTATGTAATTAGATATTCCTTCCATTATAAAACAATTACTATTGATCAAGGTTTTGTATAAAAATTAAGAAAAGATCCATAAATGCTTTCATTTAAAACAATGTATTTTTTTTTATTAAATCGCCCCTTTACTCCGTTTATTACAGAAAAATTTCATTTACTAATTAATAAATTTTTTCAAGTATTAAGATAATCTGTTGATATGATTTTTGTTTTAAAAAATTATTAATGTAAAATTTAAAGATTTATACTAACAATACAAGATATTATACCAATAAATATATTTATTAGTAAAAATATTAATGCATACTATAAATATATCGAGTGTTGATATATATAAAATATAATTTGCTAGTATAGATCTCTAAAATTTGTACTGACAAATTATTTTTATTAGATAATGATTTTACTAACAAAGGTTATTTTAACACTTGATACTTTTTGCAACTTAGTAAATGACAATTTTTTTTAATGGTTAATGTTTTACCATGCCATTTCGTGGAAATACCAAAATACAAAGATAAAGTTGGGGGGGGGGGGGGGTAAATATCTTCTTAATTTGGTAAAATGATAAATGACACTTGAAACAAGCTAAGAAATTGAAGACTTCATGTGTATAGTCATACCATCTAATCAAGACTCAAAATTCGCCTACACACTGACAAGGTTTCCAAAATAAATTTAAAAACCTTGTGAGCATGCATGCACCCAACAACTAGTTTGATACCAACTTAACGAATTGGAAATTTTGACTATTTACTTTTAAAAGCAAGACATTTTAAAACAATCACATGTTCGTCATTAGTTCATAATTAACGTGATAATGCTGATAACGTCAACGATGATTCATAAATTCGATGAGTTATATACTATTTTTAAGTTATTAGGACGTTCGTTTCATTTTTTCTGAAAAGAAAAATTATTTAAGCTGTTTGTAAATAATTATGTAGTTCTTTTAAAAGAAAAAAACTAATTTAGCCTCGTTCTTGTTAAAAATAATGACTTAATTCTAAAAGAAAGTCAAAAAGCTATATAAGAGAATCACCATTTTTTAGATTACACAAGTGTATATTATGAGATGACGACAAATAATAATTGATTATCGATTAACAATTAGTATAATTAACTTATTCAATTACCCAAGACTTGGGAAGAATTTCTCCAATTACAACAAAATCAATACAAAATTAAAAATGAAAAATGAAAAACTTGAACCCTAGTTGCTATTTGTCATTATTGACCTCTAGCAGTGTTGGCCGTTAACCGTTGTTGCTCTTCAACTAACATAACATTGTGGATTGTAGAGTTTATAAATGGATCGTACTACCAAGTAATGCAACAATTCTCTTGTCGTCAATCCTCATCGCTTGTCGTCCGTCACTTCCTTCTCTTCTTCGTGCTTTTGTGTGGTTGGTGAAAAATTAAAGCCACAATTATCAAAAATAAAATAAAAAACTAAAGCCACTAAATTGACAACGTGAAATGAAAAAGGGTTTCAATCTTATTGTTGATAGCATTGTGGTTAAGGGTTTTGCTTTGTAACGGCGGCGATAAGGTTGTCATCGTTGAAGTTGGCCCTAAAAATGTCGGCGTTGCATAAATAATGAAAAAGCATTTGCCACTTTTCTTATTTTTTTAACTATTTTTTATTTTTTGATTGATTTCAATTTTAAATTTTATTTTAAAAATATAAATTTACATCAACCTAAGTGTCCAACTCCAACCTGAACTAATCTAATTTTTTTTTAGTAAAAATCGATCCGAATTAATTAACTTTTTGAATTTATTATACAAATGCTTAAAAATAAAAGATAGTTCTATAATTAGCAAGAGAGATTTCACAAATCAAATGCGTGCCGTATAACAAACAGCAGTGTGGATTAATGGGCATAAACTTATTCTAACTTAATTAATAGTCTTAAATTTGAATTTAACTATATAACTAAGAGTCTCTTTTAAAAAATAATCTGTAACTATAATAAGTTATTTTCAGTTTATGTGAATGAGTTTTTTTATATAAACTCACTTAAATATTAAAAAATAAACCGTATCATTGAATTTATAACTAAAATAATTTTTTAATTTTTAAAAATAAATAATTATACAAACGAATCCTAGATATTAAAAAAAGAGTTTTATTATTTAAAAAAAACCTTACTCAGAACTCAGAAGTAGGATTATTTTAAAGAAAAATGCATGGCATATGAAAATAGAAAGAGTTACCATGAAGAGGGCAAATGGACAGCGAATAATAAATATGCTTATCAATTACAGAGTTGGAATCCGACACGACTAGAGAAAAGTGACGTAGCATGGTATGAAAAGTCGTAGACACTGCACCCACATGCACTGTCTCCCTTTCCCTAATTTAACACTACAACCATCTTTGTCTATACCATAGTCAGTGATAGTGTAGTTCATCTTCAGCTACGCTCCAAATAATCTTATCTGCTATACCACCCTTTGACTACAAGTATATATATAAGTATGGTGAATGCCTTAAACACTCGACCTAGCTCAAATAAACACCATCAAACACAGTTCCATTATTACTATTAAAAACACTTGCCATGGGCAAGTTCAGTAGTGTCAGAAGCAGCAGCAAAAAGAAAGGTGGAAGTGGCATTGTTAAGTTCAAGTTTGTGGTTGAAAAGCTCCAAAAGAGGCTCTTACTTGGGAGAAACAAAGAGGGTTGTGACTCAACCTATGTGCCAGAAGATGTGAAGGAAGGACACTTTGCTGTGATTGCTGAGGGTGGAGAGGAACCGAAGAGATTCGTGTTGCCACTAAGCTGTTTAAACAACCCAACATTTTTGAAGCTATTGGAGGAAGCAGCAGAAGAGTATGGTTTTGATCATGAAGGTGCACTAACCATTCCTTGCAGGCCTAGTGAGCTTGAGAGGATATTGGCGCAACAATGGCATGGACAGAGAACTGAAACTACTGGATTAAGGTGGACTTGTAATAAAACCATGGTTTTTTAAGAACTGTTATTTATAAATAATGGTAGCCATGTAGTCTACTGTGGAATTTTAAGTTAACTATTCTGCACCTTAATTTTGTTATTAGAGGCCTTTTGACTTGTCATTCCTTTCTTAAATTTATTTTGACCGTCTTATTCTTTCAGCAAGAGCTAACATAATAAAGTTACAGCTTGAGATTATTCGCATAATACAAATATACAATCATTTTTCTTTGGATTTGACTCGTGTTTCGAGACACTTTGAATCTGGACTGATTTAAAAATCTAGTTAGATTATCCTATGCATATTGCTTGTTTATTTTATCCAGAAATTTTGAATTAAAAATCTTATTTTATGAGAATTAAATCTAATGATTAAAAAGAATCCATATATTAATAGTCAATTGTCTTCATTGATATAAACTTTGTTTAATAAAAGCTAAATTATTAATATATAAGTATTGTTAAGTTTACGCACGTTACTAATTATCAATAATATGATGTATTATACGTATTAATAAAATATGATTTTTCTTTCTCTGAATTATTTTTTATGTTTCATAAATTTATAATTTTTTAAATGAAATCTATATATTAATAAGGACAACCCTAACGACTAACTGTTTATATGTATATATATTAATTGTAGTGTTTGTTGCCACATATCTAAAAAGAGTTGGTATTTCGTCCTTTGTTCATGGCTAAACAAACACCACACACCATTAAATTTAATCCCATACTAACATATTTTAATACTACAACTAAATTCATTTATTTAATAAATTCACGAACATATTTTATTTTTTTTATCTCATGTAAACACTATTCATATAACCATGCTTATTTATAGTAGTTTGAATTGTCATGTATACGCTCTAACTTTTGGGATGCACAAGTTCCGTTCCATTCACTAAATAATATGATCGATCAGCAAAATTGTAATTAAATTGTTTAAACAGGATTTTATGCCCCAAAATTCTAAATTATAAATAAATATGATGTTAAGACAATTTCAAGCTGCTCCGTTTTTAGATGGAAAATCTTCATTGCCTTGCTCCACCAGCTAAGATGCACTTTTTGGCCCATCAATTCCCCCACAAATGATTAAAAGGTGTTATGATAATTAGAGACATCATGCTTATATTGAAAGGGAAAATGTGTAGTCAACGTCAAAGTGCGACAATAAAAAAAAAAAGCATATCTTTTAATCTTAAATTATATTTTAAAATGTGTGTGTTCATATAATTTTTAATCTTTAAATAATAAAAAACCAATGAAATTATAGTTACGACCCACGGTTCTGCGTCTTGCCGACTGACTTTAATGCTACGGAACGTTGTTGGCATTTATATTCATGTATAAAGATGCCATTAATTTGAGAAAGACCGTATACGTACCAGCTGTCAAGAACAATAGAGAGAGAGAGAGACTCTAGTTCGTCCATCACTAGAAAAGAATAATTATCATAAATGAAGGTATATTTCCTCTCTCTTGCATGTTTAAACATTGGGTTTATATAGAATTTAGTTGAGTTTACGTAAGTGACTTGTAAATTTATTGTAAACTTTTTTTTTGTTTCTGACCTTATGAGTAACTAGGCACCAGTGAGTAGTAGAATCATAGTATCAATTAAATACATATATATCCACTTTCACTACATATGAGAATTATCGAAACATCACAAGCTATGAAGGATTATGCATCGAACGCTTGCACAATCAATAGCTTGCCTTGTGATCATAAAGTGAAGTTGGCTTTGAAGATGCTCTCGAACTTATGGTGGAGAGGATGACGAGGGTCTTTTCATTTCAAATTTTAACAGCTCTCAACTTTTGACTATGATATGTTTAATTATCTAATTAAGTTGCATATATGCTTAGTGGGAGCAGGAGTATAAATTGCATTTGACTAAGATTATGCAAAGTAATATGAGAAAGTGATTAACTATTTTAGGGTCTGACATAAATGTCGGAGCAATATTTGATAGCATCAGAGAATGGGGTAATAGGATGTTTGTAATCTTGTGGTGTATGGGACGTTAGTCAAAAATCAGGAACACTTCATGTATTAATTGGTGAGTACTTCTTGTATTCAAATATTAATAATATTTGTTTTTCATTTCGAAAGAAAGAGTATTCAGTATAATGTACAAAGGTCATAACTTTGTAGCAGTAACGAAATTTTATTACGTGGAATGTAAAGGGTATTTAAACAATTACATTGGAACACTTACATGAAGAAAGATGCAAAGGTATCAATAATAAACTTTTTCTTGAAGGTATGTTTGGGAGAGTGATATTTTATAGAAAAAGAAAGAAGATATTTTTTTTTCATTTTTAAAATGAAAAATTCATGTAAATAGTTTATGAAAAAAAAAAGATATCAAATTTAAGTTAGTCTATCATTTTGTTTTTTTATTTAAAAAATATTAAATCATATAATATGTATTAATAAATTTGACGTTTCTTAACCTTGAAAACCTAGCTCTCAAAGACGTTCTTAAAAATCTAACTTATGGTTCACCTATTTCAATCCCTACTACATTCAGAAATGCGTTCTTAAAAATCTAGTTTTGCTCTAGCCCAATTCCATACTCTACACTAATTGAGTTTTTCAAGATCTAAAACTTTTTGTTTGATAAACTTTACTGAGTTTCCATAATGACCATTTAGTTGAAAACCGTATGAAGTGGGCCTTACAACCCACTGGCAGCACCATTCCAACGCCATTTGTTTACAACATATAATTTTTTTAAAATACATTTATGTTTACACTTCGTAATAACTAAAAGCATGAGAAATCGTGCTTACGATGCTAGGCCAAAATTCTGATTACACCATAGTTTTGGTGTTTGATTTTTTTTTTTCAAAATTAATTTTGCAGTAAGTTGAATTGATTTTAAGAGAAGTTTAAGAGTTTATTTGTTTTAGGTGCTGGCAGAATTAGTTCTGATAGAGTTGAGGTAAATAAAAATTATTATGAGTTTGAGAACAACATTTTAAAAGTGAGTTTCGAAGAAATAAGTTTATTTAGATAATAGTATGGAATAATTTTTTAAGTTTAGAAGAAAAATTCTATTTTTCTTGAATGCTAAACATCGTCGCTTTACTCAAAATTTTAATGTTACTCACTGCATAATTGATATATATCTTTAGAATAGTGAAATTTAACCAAGATCAATGCATTACTGTGCTCACCAATTTTAGGTCATGAAATTTGAATTGTCGGTAATGATATTGTGTCATTAACTCGTAGGGAAAAATTTAGCGTTTGTAGTTGTCTTAAATAGATGACTATGTCTTACTCAAATCCTAATAATCGTAGACCCAAATAATACTGGTTGTGTAAATTATTTATATAAAAGTATATTAACGAAATATTTGGAAGAATTTACACAAAACTTATAAAAAGTTTCTTAGGGCCTATTAACTATTGTAGCTTGTTTTAAACTTATTTTAATAATTTTTGTAATCAACTCATAATAAACTGTTTTTAAATAACTATTTATTGAATCTGTTTAACAAAATACGTCCTGATTACTCGCGAACACGACTAATCGATTATGATCATGCCAGCTGTGAAATTCCGACATTCTTCTCTCTCTCTTTACAAAGGCCCAAAGCTTGAGAAGTCTCATTCCCGAATACCCGAGTCTGAACACTTCATTTTCAGTCAACTACATCTTCATCCACCAAATTAAAATAGAGAGACCTGCTTCATTCCATCATTTGTTAAACAGATTTATCACACCCCTAATTTGTTTCATAAAAGACCGGCTACCCTTGTTAATTTTCTCGGATAAAGTGGAAGCAAGCAAACGAATTATTAAAATAAGAGACTGAGAAAAGTAGTACCGTTAATATAATGCATATCATTTCATTTCATAAGCTGCATACAACTAGTTCATTCATATATACTGTCCCGTGTTATCTATTATCATGATGGTCAGCAACCAAGTAACCCGATTGGGATAAGCACAACAAATGATAGAAAATAAAAATTACCAATCTAACGGGGGACGAAATGTCGGCTAAAAATTTTAGACCGTGATTTCTATACCGATTCTCTGCCATTTAGATCAACTGTGATCGCCATAAAGCAATTCACCTCAAGCAGCAACACCCGCTACATTGTAATAGAAGTATGTAATGCTTCGATCGATATACTTACTGGACAAAAATAGTGTCCCAGTCTCACTAGCATCTTTCAGTCAGATAAACCCGCCTTTGACCTTAAGTGCTCCTTGAAATCCATAATGTCACCTTCCCATCTGGTCACAGTTTGATCAGCGCAAACCCATATCTCATGGGCCACCTGATTTATGAGCCTAAAATCATGGCTAACAAGCACCATGCCACCATCCCATTCATTCAATGCTTCAGCCAACGAGTCAATTGTCTCAATATCCAGATGATTAGTTGGCTCATCCAAAAGTAGCAAGTGAGGCTGTCTATAAGCTAACCATGCGAATATCACACGGCTCCTCTGCCCATCAGATAAATTCTTCATCGGCATCACCTGTGCTTTCCCAGACAGTCCAAATTTCCCAACAGCTGCTCTCATCCTCTCTTCCTCATTTCCAGGGTATTCTTTAATCATATACTGGAGAGCAGACATTTCCAAGTCTAGCTTTTCAGCCAAGTGCTGGTGAAATTGTGCGATTCGAAGGTGATTATGACGTCGAACCATGCCATCTATAGGAGCCAAATCCCCGGTCATTAGCTTCAGTAACGTACTCTTCCCAGCTCCATTGGGTCCAACCAGGGCAATCCTAGAGTCTAGATCAACCCCAAAGTCAAGGTTTTTGTAGATCAGATTATCAGGAGTGTAACCAAATGTAACCTCTACAAACTGGAGGACAGGTGGGGGAAGTTTCCCCACATCAACAAAGCGGAATACCAAAACTTTGTCTCTTACCACCTTCTCTGTGAGTCCACCCCGCTCCATTTTTGCAAGAGTTTTCTCTTTACTCTGAGCTTGGCGAGCTAGTTTTGCTGATCCATGGCCAAATCGGGCAATGTATTCCTTCATCGAGGAAATTTGCTCCTGCTCCCATTTATACTGCTTCATCTGGTTCTCTTCCAGTTCAGCACGTGTCTGAACATATTGATCATAATTACCAGTGTAAAGCTTCAGCTTTTTGTTTTGCATGTGAATGATATTTGTGCAGACACCATTAAGGAAATCCTGGGAGTGTGAAATCACAACCAGAATGCGGTCAAACTTCTTCAAATTCTCCTCCAGCCAAACACAAGCTTCCAAATCTGCAAATATATTTTTAAAATACAATGCATCCAGAGTTATTTCATGACCAAAAGGAGGAACATACTGTTGTGTTACAAGAAAGAAAAAAATAACATCAAACTATTAAGGAGAAATATAGAAAACAAGTAAATTTATGACAATTATTTGATGGATATAATTCAAACAACGGATAAAGAATCAACAGGAGCTTCAATTTAAAATCACATGTGAGACAGCAGAGCAAATTATCCCATGAAAATCAATGCATAAAATATGAAAAGATAATATCAATTCAGCCACAAACAAAAGGATTTTTTTTTATGCAGGTGAGGTACCAAGGTGATTGGTTGGTTCATCAAGTAAAAGAATGGTCGGATTCATAAATAGAGCACGAGCTAAAGCAATCCTCATTCTCCAGCCACCAGAAAAATCACGAGTCTTCTTTGCTTGCATCTGCTTGTTGAAACCAAGACCAAATAAAATTTCAGCAGCACGCTTTTCTGCAGTTGATGCATCCATGGCTTCAAGTCTTTCATAAACACGTTCTAGAGCTTCACCACCTCCATCATCCTGGAACAAAATCAACTCAAGTGAGCCAGTGATCCAAAAACATAAAACAACAATGGAAAAAAATCAGATTTTTTATTACTTAAAACAGACCTGTGCTGCTAAAGTTTCTGCTTCTTTCTCCAACCTCAATCTTTCCTCATCACAGCTTATGACAGCCTCCAATGCAGACATGTCAGAGGCTTCAATTTCCCTGGTAAGGTGATATATATCCATATGTTCAGGAATAGGTAGCTCTCGGCAACCTATTGCCGTAAGCAAGGTAGATTTTCCACAACCATTTAATCCAAGCAAGCCATAACGCCTGAAAGGAATTTAAGGAAAACATAATCACCAACAAATATAGTAACTACAACTTATAGGTATCTTCATCAGAAGTCATAACATATTCGTAAGGATGCAAACCTTCCATAGTTTAGCTCCAAATCAGAATCAACTATCAAATCGTGTCCATGGAAAGTAACTGACAGAGATTCTATCTGGAGTTACAGCATAAATAAATACATCAATACAATACTGATCATTTTAAATGCATTAGCAATTAGCTACACTCAATATGGCAGAAATATCATTTCATGGAATAATATTACAATACTAATCTCCCTCCAAACAGTCGGCAAAAGGTTTGTATTTGGTTTCATTCACAAACAAGAACCAAGTAATTGACCTTGGCAACGCGGTAGAATGCCAATGCCACAGACCCAACAGCTAAGCTAGGCGCTCAAATACTCGCACCCATGCAAGCAACAATAAGCTAGAAGAAAGACTTACTAAATCACAAATGCCTACGCAGAACCAAATGCACGGGTATCAAGGTAACTAAGCACTTCAGGAAATGCATTTATATCTTTTAATAAGAACGGAGAAAATAATACATTAAATTCTTTAGAAACCAGTTTCTTTCTTCCAGCCCAACCTTCAACATTTCACTGTTTCAGCTGTGGGTCAGACTAATCGTTTTCCTTTTAACTCCCAAGAACTGACACTAGGCATCTCTCCCTCAATACAGGCAACAAGACTAGCAAATCAACAGAACCGAAACACCATACGCAAAAACTCAAGCAAAACATTCCACATCAGCTATTATAATAACAACATAAATTAAAATTAATTAGACTAATCCACGATTCAATGCGATTATGATGATGGTGGATATTTAAGCGACACGCTACTCAGTACTAACCCTAATATCCCTGGAAAGAGGATGGGAGCAGAGGACACCGGTGCAGGTCCGATCGGAAATCTGAATATCCCCAATTCCGTCGGCAAGCTTGTCGGCTGCCTTCTCGGACGTCGTTTTGGACGAAGCAGCAGCAGCTGCCGCTTTACCTCCTCTCTTGGCCGCCGCCGCCGCCTTCTTCTGCGCAGCCTTCTTCTTGCTGGCGTCAGACACCATCTTCAATATCAATCTCTGCACACCAAGAACCAACTCCACTCAACAATCAACTAGCAATTTCAAAAGAAAACAAAGGAATGAAATGCAAACCTTGAACCGGAAGGGTGAGCAGAAGATAGATCTCCTGAATACGTGTTACCGTGAGAGAGTAGAATCCGAGCGAGGGCTTAGGGTTCGAGATTTCTATTGAAGTGGAGGTGAGGTTTTGAATATATAGAGGTGCGGGCTTCCACGTGTTTCGGAAGGAGTTACCTTAAACACGTTTTTATTAGAGATAATGATATAATAATAATAATAATAATAACATAAATTGAGTAGAATGTTGTCGAGAAATTACTCCCTGTGTATGGGCCGTTTTCCAGATTGGTTAGCCTTTCAAAGAGGAGAGCCACCCAAAATATTTCGTTGCTAAAATAATAATCTGCCTTGAGAGGAACTTTTGTTTTTCCTATTTGTCTACTTGTCCGAATTTGAAAAGTAACATTTCTAGATACACCTGCGATTAGCTATTTCAAAGGCAACGTGATTAGATACATCTTTGCTTAATTAACTTGTGTGTCATGTACCCAAAATAAAAAATAAAAAAATTGCGTGTCATTAAAAGATCTGCATTACTTTCACCAAAAATAAATAAACATCAGCATTATACTTAATCCATGTTCACTTGTTAGGAATTTTTTTGGGAGTATATTTGTGAATCCTTTTTTTCCTCCCATTTGAGAGAAATCTTATAAGAAAGAAAGGAGAGGAAATAAAAAGTGAGGGTAAAATGTTGCACATTATGAAAAATTAAACCATATGTTCAAAGGTCATGCTTTGTTTCCTTAAAATAAAAGTTCATGCTCTGCAATTTAACTAATGATACGTGCGGATTTTCTTCTGCCTGTCTGGGTGGAAAATAGCGATGGAATGACCCTCTTGATTGTCTTCCATCGCAGGGTCAAACTCCACTAATGAATCTAGCATCAGGGAAATGGCACACTGATAGATGAATAGGAGAAATTATACAGGTAAAAAGGACAGCCAAGAAACTACCACGAATGAGTCAAATGACTAATGAGTTCACCCACCTCATCTTAATCACAATGATACCTTTTCTTCTTGCCAACCCCAATCGTAAAACTATCGAGAGTATTGGAAGCCTAACTAATCCAATTGGTTATTTAACAGAGTAACGGGAGTGGGATAGAGAATTAGAGATTCCATTTTTAGCATTTACATTATGCATCAGATATTAACAACACCAAAGTCTAAAATTGGTATGATCAAATGTGAAAACAGTATTGGTAAATCACATATCAAAACCTTTCCTATTAAGCACAAATTTTTCTCTACGCTTTTTCAGTTTTTCAAAACCTATAAGGAAAAATATTTTAACATAAAAAAAGGAAGGATAAAAAAGACTCTCCTGACTCCTGTGCCCCCCAAGGAAAATCAAATTCCCCATTGCCGACAGTCATCAAACCATGAAATGGCCAAAGCTCACATAAGGGAACAAGCATTGGGATTTTCATCACTAAACATCTGCGGTGCATGCAATTGCCCCATGTAGACTGGCCCATAATTATAGACATCACCGCCCCCATACCCATAACCATAACCAAAACCATATCCATATGCAGGTGCCGAACCCTCCACCTTACTCTGTTCCATTTTCCCCTGGCCATCACCACCGCCCTCTTCGTCCTTGTCATTATCTCCACCACCCTTCTTCTTCTTCTTTGCACCAGCATTCCCTCCTTTGTCAGGGGCAGCACTCTCTTTCACACTCTCCTTCTCCTTCTCCTTCTCCTTCTCCTTCTTGGGAGGGACCACCTCAACCTTCCTCCTAAGCCTCTCAGTCAAATTCGCCACCAAAGCTTTCACGTCCATCGTGCCTTTCACCGTCACCGTCTCCTTCTCTTTATCTATAGCCATGTCACGCACACCTACAAACGCCACAACCATTCCATTCCAGAAACACGTCAACAATAATTAATAAAAAAAAGGGAAAATCCAAAAAAAAAAAAGACCTTTGGTCTTCAACACAGTCTTGCGAATCCTCTCAATGCAACCCTGGCAATGCAACGACACCTTGAGAACCGTCGTCGTCACAGGAGGGTCTTTGGGTTTACTGTTGTTTTTGGATTTGTTATCTTTTTCCTTGTTGTTTGGAACGGGAGAGATAAGGTTAACCTTCTTCTTCATCTTGCTGGTGAGCTTGTCCCTGAGTTTGGAAGGGTCGAGTTTTCCGGTGATGGTCAACATGCCGGTCTCGCTCTCCGCCTTCAAACTCTCCACGCCTTCAACAACAAGGTTCAATTTCAACGCTTCAGTTTAAGTCCAAATAAAAAAAATAAATCAGTAAATAGAGATATTAACGAATTAATGAAACGGAAAGGAATTAAGATCAGAGGAGTTGGGATGGGAAACCTTCGAAACCGCGAATGCAACGGACGATTTTGGAAGCGCATCCGTCGCAATGCATGTCCACCTTCAACACCACTGTGGTGGGGGTTTCCTCTTGCTTCTTTCCTTCGTCCTTTTTGTTCTCAACATCGCTCTTATTCTGCTTCTGCTTCTGCAATTCAAAATAACGGAGTAGAAGTTAGCATTAACAATGGGAAATGGAGAGACAGAGAAATATTAACCTGACCCATTGTGGCTGTGGGGATGAACCAAATGGTAACTGTGCTATTGCCTTTTGGGAGTAGACCACTTATACCATCTCCACCTTCCACATTACAGTTTCTTATTTTTCTTAACAGTTTCATTTTAAAAAAACATCTTCAATTGGGCCGCCATCAAATTTTCTGTTTCACTCCTTCACTTCCACGTGGCCTTTCTGACTCTCCCCCTCTTTCGAAAAAAAAAAAAATAGAGGTGAAGATCGACTATTAAACAACGACAACTGTTTGTTGGTCTGTATCTGCTAATAAATAAGATTTAATGCGTGACCGAAAATTATAAAGTGACAATGTAGAGGGGTATTTATTTTTGTTTATGACTTCAATTTATAACATAATGTAAATCAAATTCACAATAAAAACACCATCATCCGAGCACGTGTTCACGGACACGGAAGAGGAAGAGATTTTTGTGATTTTGATTTTGCTAAAAGCGCACGCGCCTGGAAGAACGAGAAGCAGAGGAAGATAATTTGTTTTGGTTTGCAGTCCCTATTCATTGTTCATTAATTTTATTTGATATTCATATTATATGAATTATATCATTTATTCAAATTTTTTATAACATCAAAATTTCTTTATTTCATTGACTAATATATTTCACATCTCATTTTATTATACAAATATTGTTTCTCTCCATCCAACACTTTATACACATGTTTGGTTATTTATTTTTCTTAATTTTTCTTTTAAATTTTTCCGGAAAAACCTTCAAAAAATTATTCCAAACACACTGAATTATCAAAGAAAATTAATAAATAAATTAATTGAATATTTATTTAACAAATTTGTCTCATCTAAAACCTTTAAAATACGTTTAGTAGACTTTATTTGAACATTTTCTATAAAAAATTAAAATATTTATCAATTTAAATATGCTCAAAAAACATTTTCCAAAATGTTTTTTTATGAACAGATGTTTCTATAAAACTATAATAAGAACTGTTGAGAAAGGGAAAATTTGCACGAATGACAACTCTAGTGCGGCGCCATTCTTTTTCAAGTTGCAAGAGGTGCAGTGCAGACAAGCATTTTAAGTGTTTCATTCGGTTTTATTTTAGAGGAATAATTATTTTTAAAAAATAAACAAGCATCAATCATATGTAAGATTAAGGATTTTCAAGAATTTATAATTTTTTTTATTTTTTCATATTTTTAGTATAATTATCAAATTTATTTTTTTTATTTATCTTGATAAATGTTATTATTAAATTTATAACACAAATTATTATTTTAAAATTATTTAAAAATAGTAAAATAAATTATGTATCTAAATACATCTTAAAAGTTACATGGTTTTTAACTGATTTTTTAAACTGTATCCATCATTAGTCTATAAACTGAATTTAATTGCTTATTAATTATTAATTTAAAATCAATTATTTTTATAAACTATTTAAATTAATAACAAATAAATCTTCATTTATCTGCTTCGTTTTTTTTATTTTAAAATTGTTTATTAACAGCACTCTTTAAAATTGATTTTAAACATTTAAAAATAATTTTTTATAAAAAATTTATTTATTATATTAAAAATATAAAAGCAAAATTATTATTTTTTAAATTTTATTTCTCTAAAAATGCAGGAAAAATGGATTAAATTCTTTAGAAATGAATTTCTTTCCTCCAGCGGAACCATCTTCAACATTTCACTTTCCTGTGGATCATATTAATTGTTTTCTTCTAACTCATAAATAACTCACAAAAAGCATCTCTCCCTGGTAGCAAATCAACAAGAACACAGACCCAAAACGCAAAGACTGAAACTCAAAATTCCACTTCATCTATTAAAATAAAAACATAAAAAAAAAATTTCAAAAAAAGAAAGATACATACATACATACATTGTCGACTGGCTTCTTCTTCTGTGCAGGCACAGCCTTGTTCTTGCTGGCGTCAGACACCATCTTCAATATCCAATCTCTGAACTAACTCCACTCAATAATCAACTACCAATTTCAAAAGAAATCAAATGAATGAATGCAAACTTTCAATGAGAACTGTAAGCAGAAGATAGAGATATCCGTGAGAAAGTAGAACTCGAGCAAGTGCTTAGGGTTCCAAGTTTCAGTTGGAATACTTGGAACCTGGGATGAGATTCGGAATATATATATATATATATATAGAGGTGAGGACTTTTGATTAATAATAATATTAATAATATAAATTGAGTAGAATGTTGAAGAGAAAAATATTCCTATATTTGTGCATGGGCCGTTTTCCAGGTTAGTTAGCCTATTGAAAAGGAGAGCCACCCAAAATATTTTGTTAGAAATAATATGTACATGTGTGTGTGAATTTGATTATATTCTGTTATTAAGAATGTGATTTTTTATATAATTTAAAAAATATTAAACACCTATATCTATGTATGTATGTAGATATAAAATTGATCATACTTTATTAAAAAAATGTTTTGATAAATATATTATATAATTTAGTACTATTATAATTACTATTTACAATATACTTATAAACATGTAATTTAATAATTAAATTTTATTAAAAAATGCTATTTTATATTGTTTTCTTAACTTGGGCTATTTCTATTGGGTTGGGTGGCCATCAAATTTCATGTTTGGATCTCATTCCTCGTAGACGTTGGCCCGCTCACCCACCCCCTCTGTCAACAAATTTAATTTTAAGATACAAAACTTAGGTATAGTTCTATAGTCAATGCTAACACATAAAGGTTACTAAAACAGTAATTCCAATTGAGGTGGTGTTAGTTAGTATTTGAAAAGTGCTATTTAGTTTTTTAATCAATGTGAGGTTAATATTTAGCTTATGAAAAATATTATATTATACCTATCTACATAAAGTTAATCTGAATATCCATTAATAACAAGTGATTTATTTTGAGTTTGATAGTAGACTCTTGTGTCATAATTAGATACGTAATTCAGTCTGAATCAATATTAAATTAGATAAAAAAAAATCTTACTCTAACTAATTTTTAAACTATAAAATTAAAAATTATTTAAACTCTTTAATATGGAACATAGACAGATGGGAAAAAAATACAAAACGATAGGGTGAAAGCAACAATTCTGTGGAATCTGAACGCAGTACAGGTTGAAGGTGGTGGTAGTGTAGCTGTGGCAACACTCTCAACAGGAAGCTCATTATTTTTACAGAGGCGGCAATTTAAGAAAGAAGTACCGCATGAGCTGGTGGCAACTACTGAGTAGCACCTTGATTTTCACAAGTGATTTGAGAGAAAAGAGAATGAAAAGGATTATGTTAGGCCCATTTACAGGCTAGAAATAGAAACACTTGCATTTCTTTTTCTGGCTACAATTTATCCACGTCATAATCTTTTTTTAAACGTGTACTCTGTGTGTGTGATAAATACTTTACAGTGCATTTGATTCACAAGTAAAGAGATAGGCAGAAGTGTTTTAATGGAAAAAGAAAATTAGAGTTTCCCTATTTATCCTCCTTTGCTAAAGTGAAATGATGATGAGCATTAGAAATATATTTTTTATTTTAAATTAAAGACTATATATATATATATATTCTTTTATTTTTCAAATTAAATAAACAAAGATGCATCCTTAGTTGTATTTTTTTTAATCAAACGGAGTATTAGTCTAATTAAAACAAGAAAAATAAATTTACTTTATCTATTTTAGAGGGAGAACAAGAGAAACACTGATGTAAGACATGTGTGATAACATAAAGTTTTGGAGTTTTTTTTTTTTATAATCCAAACTTATAAATTATTTATTGTCTCTTTAAAGAGGAAAAGTATTTAACATCATTTCTTCTCTCACCCCTTTTATGTTTCTAAATTATTAAACAGGTAAAGATTACCAAAAAAACATGTTTTATTTTTCTTCATCTCCAAACACAATGAATAACATATTTTTAAATATTTACTGTGAAAGTTTTAAATAATTATTCAGATAAACATTTTTAGCTTTAGCTCAAAATATAATATAGAAGTTTCAAACTAAAATTCAAACGTGTCATTAATTTTGTTTTTGAATTAATAAATAAATTTAACTACACACTTATGTGATTGATGAAATAATAACAATAATAATAAACGATATTTTTATTGATTTAAAAAACTATATGTAATTACTTAGTATAAAATTATTTAAAAATAACGTTCAATTGTTAATTTCGCTTTATATATCCTGAGATCATCAACAATTTTTGTCGAACAATATTTTTATTCCCTACTTAATTTTATTAACTAAAAAAGGTAGAACAAACTCTTAAATTATATTAAAACAACAAAAAAGAGAAAATGTGTAAACTAACATTATTGATTATATTATATTTATAGAAAAATATGAAGTGACGTGACTACCGTACAGAATACAAGAGTCATTTTCTTTTACGAAAACAATCATTTCACGGAGCCTAAAGAATGTATACAGCTAATACAGTTAGTAAAAAAAGAAATAATATAATACGTAATAAGATAAAAACAAGTATAATCTTTTATTTTTCTGCATACTGAAAACAGAATAGGCACAAGGAGACATACTGATATCAAGTGAAGAGTCAGTCCAATATCTGACGTGGCATTCTCCGATTTGTTGGGAGATCAAATCCCACGTGCTTGTGATGCTTTTAATCACGTGGGCTAAGACCAGCTGCTGTGTGGCAGACATGCGAAAGCACACCTCTTTCTAGCTTTAGATATGTCAAAACAAAAACATAAATAATAATGGAAATCTACCCATGCTTATCCATTCCTAAACCTACCTCTAATCATCATTTTTTGTTCAAATTTTCAACAGTTTCTTCCTCCTCATGTTTGCTTTATTAATACCAGCATATGCCATTCAGATAGATAGATCATGTCTACTA